ACACTGACTTGGAACTAAATCTCATTTAAGTTAATGATGCTTGTTTCAGAAAGAACTAGAGGGATGTAGGACATCAGGTCCTCGGGCCAAATCTCATCACTTGAAGGTCCCCATATTGTGGTTCTCAGATGGCCACTGTTTTCTTTATAATACAATTATTCTGTGGTTTTCTAATTTTTATATTCCTCTCTCCAAATCCAAAAAGGTTGAATGGCTTAATTACTAGTGGTAAAAAAAACATGCTGACATTTTTGACCCTGCATTTTACCTTTCATCATTACTAGAAAATGACCTTTGGGAATTTATCTTGAATTGAATATAGCCCCCCTCAAGGATGAAATATGTATATTCCCTACTTTTGTAGTGTATGTAGCTGTTTGTGCAAAGCAGATACTTGTAATCCTTACAGTTGTAAGAGCTGCTATGAGGTAATTCATGTATTCACAACAAAAGCTCCACTTCTAGTACCACTGGTGGAAGCACAGTCTTAGCCCTTGGGTTCAACATTAATCTGGAAAAAAAACACTTACTTCTGGTAAAGATCCTGACCTGTTATTACACAGGAGCTACCCTGAAATAATAATCCTTATCACCACTAACCTGGAACTCCAGGATATCATATGCTTCAAGATGTTCATAACTTGGGGTGCTGCCAATATGGTTTCTGTGTAATGATGTCCCATGAGGTAGCTGTTACTGCTTGAAAATATCTAATTACCCAGAGACTTTCCTTACCAGTGCGAAGGCTGAGTATTGCTGGCGTAGAGATTCTTTAAGTCCAACTATATGAAAATGGTTCCCAGACAACATTTACAGCTGCTATGTGGAGCACCTTCTTGTATCAGGTAAATACTAATATCAACAATGTATTATTATTATAATTATTATTATTTATTTTATTTATATCCCGCCTATCTAGTCGATTAAGACCACTCTAGGTGGCTTACAACAATAATATAACAATGTGAATAAAAACAGTTTTAAATAAGGGGAAAACTTTGGACAAATGGGACAGACACTAGAAAAGGTGAGAAAGGGAAAGTCAGGAATTGGCTGAGGGGAAGGCCTGCCAAAACATCAGTGTTTTTAGTTGGTTTTTAAAAATACCCAGCGAGGGAGCCGCGTGGATATGTAAGTATAAAATATAATGCAACCATAGGCCAAATTACACATGGCAATGACACGTGAACCTGCTGAATCATGCTTGCCCCACCCATGTATAATGTGTGCACTGATGAGATCTACAGTATATGTGACTGTCTTTTTCTCCACTTTACCTCATGACAGCCATGAGAGTTAGGTCAGGCTGAGAGACAATGTTTGGCTCAAGGTCATTCAGTGACCTTCATAGCATACCTAGGACCAGAATTTGAATCTCCCAAGTCCCAGTTCCACACTCCAGTCACAGTATCACACACAGTGTGTGTGAGAGAGGTGAATTGAAAATTTCCGTTGTTCCTCTTTTATAGGATGCCCAAACTCCTTTTCAGTTCTCTAATAATGTGAACCAAGGAGGGATAAAACTTTAGTGTGTGGAAGGGAGGTGTTAAACTCCCCTTGCTCACATACCTTATTTAATGTTTACCAGGACTGCTAACTATGAGTGTGACTATACTGTTAAATTAACTCAAGTACTGGTTTGAGTTTTCAGAAATTAGTTTAATAATATGTAATTTTTGTACCAGTGTGTCCATCCTCAGGGAACAACTTTTAGCCTGGTTTTTAGCTGTGTGCTATACTGGCACTTTAGGTGCCCTGGGTCTCAGTTTTCCTGTTTTTTCCTTAGTGCCAGGAACTTAATTCTTCACCTCAACTGTACCTTGTGCCTTTTTTGAGGTGGAGCTTGCCTACCTTAAGAATGCTGATGATGGGCTTAGCAGCTTTTATTCAGCAAAGCCAGCATTAGGAGCACACAACTACTATGACAGCTATTTCATCTGCCCTTTATTAGAAGGTTTCTATCCCACCCGGTCTCAAAGTGTCCTTGAATGTGCTGCCAAGCCTTTTTTTAAAAAAAGAGAGAGACTATACACATTTGTGTAATAACACACAAATATGCCGAAACCCTCAACCTTCTCTGTTCTGACATAAAGGACATACATATTGGTGACATTATCTGTGTGTTTCTGGATCACTATTTTTTATATCCCATACATAGGGCAGGGGTAACACAAACAGCTATGATCTGGTGAAGCTGTGTAGGGGCATCAATTTCAAATATGTGATAGTCCTTTTAAAAAGATTTCAGGAGAGGAAGATCCAACAGACTGTGTGCACTAGTAAAGGAAAGCTGGATTCCATAGGCACCTTGTGGCATTAAAGCTAGCAGGGAATAGTTGATATTTGCATGACCACACCAAAGAGTTAAAAAGAAGAATCAAAAGAAAACCCAGGGAAGACAGACCCTTGTATCCTTATTATGTGACCTATCCACCCAATGCCTCTATGACAATAATTCTTTCACAATCATATGCACATTCAATCTTATTATGTGTCAACATGTTGCACAATTTATGGTAACCCTATGAATGAGAAATCTCCAAAATGTCCTGTCCTCAACAGCCCTGCTCAGCTTTTGCAAACACAAACCTGTAGCTTCCTTTAAGGAATCAATACATCTCTCATTTAGTCTTCCTCTTTTCCTACCTTCAACTTTCCTCTCCTTCTTCAGAGAATCAGGTCTTCTAATGATGTGTTCAAAGTAATCCAGCTTTCACACCCATACATGGTGATAAGTAATACAGTACAATAGTGTGGGTGATTTTGGCCACTGTCTCCAGTGACACACCCTTACACTTTATTTTTTTCTAGTTCCTTCATCCCTGCCTTTCCAAGTTTCACCCTTCAATCTTAATCTTTCAGTCAATCTTAATAGTGTAATATTTCCCTAAATTCTAGTAAACAAAGTGAGAGGAAAAAAAGGAAAAGAAAATTCCAGAGGGCAACGGGGGTATATAAACAGTGACACAGCTCTTTCCTTTCATCCATTGCTCCATAAAATGGCTGGTAGAGTGGCTACAAAGAGATATACCTACTATGCAATGGCTTCTGACTAAGTCTTCCCTAGTGCTTCAGTAGTTGGTGTATCTAGGTAGATTTTGAGTTTTATTTGGGGTTCAGCTATCACTCATCTTCTTCTTTGGCACCAGCTGCTCTGTCTACCTTATTACCGTTGATTTCTCCTTTCCTTAATTCAAATTCCTGACCATCTTTTGAACCTTACAAATGCCGGCTGAGATACAAAGGACCCATTATGGCCTTTTTCTGCTCTGGATGTGAACAGCAGCCCCTTGTTCTATCCTGCAGTCATCTCATCGTTTAATCGTTTATTCATGTCCGACTCTTCATGACCCCATGGGCCAGAGCACGCCAGGCCCTCCTATCTTCCACTGCCTCCTGGAGTTGGGTCAAATTCATTCTGGTAGCTTCGATGACACTGTCCAACCATCTCATCCTCTGTCGTCCCCTTCTCCTCTTGCCTTCACACTTTCCTAACATCAGGGTCTTTTCCAAGGAGTCTCCTCTTCTCATGAGATGGCCAAAGTATTGGAACCTCAGCTTCAGGATCTGTCCTTCCAGTGAGCACTCAGGGGTGATTTCCTTTAGAATTGATAGGTTTGTTCTCCTTGCAGTCCAGGGGACTCTCAAGAGTTTCCTCCAACACCACAATTCAAAAGCATCAATTCTTCGGCGGTCAGCTTTCTTTATAGTCCAGCTCTCACTTCCATACGTCACTACAGGGAAGTCATCTCAAAGTGACACAAATATCCTTATGCAGTCCATTTTTGCACCTTTGTCTGAAGACAGGGCAGATTCCTCCATAACTAAGTCTCACTCTGTTCAGTGGGGTTTACTCCTTAATATGTTTTAAATCAATGGGCAATGTGACTTTTCCAAATTATATTGGACTGTAACTCCCCTTCTTGGCAAGATCTAATGGGTGATGCAATCCAACAATATTTGAAGGGTACCACTGTCCTCACTCTTCTTATATATGTAAGCTGCCACTCTGTACCCATTTACTTGAAAACAAAACCTGTAAATTGTACGTAGTCATTTGTTCTTGGTTTTATTGGGATCTTGTTTCCATTACTATTTTCTTTTTTGCTAAATTGCCTTGAATATTGTATTACTTACATACTTTTTGGTCACTCTAATACTGTAAGTTTCTATCTGTGATTATTGGCATCCTTCAAACAGATCCATAAGGGCTTTGACTGAGGTGCTGTTTAGTTCTCATCATTAGTTTTGCTTTGAATATTTTATACATTAAGTCGAGCATAAATGTCCCAAATCACAACCAGCGCCTTTGAGAACACGACGGCACCAAAATCTTATGGCATCTCCAAGACAAGCCCATGGGTCGGGGCACGTTTTTGGGATCAGGAGGCAGCTTCACCAATCCTCTGGGCACATGCAGAGTGGCTTTAAACCAGCACCGACACATCCATGACACAAGCCTCTCAGCAAAGGCTTTTCAGGGGAGAAGGTGAACCTGCTAGGTCTTCTGAACCTGTCTTTTTACGCAACAGGAAGGCAGAGGAAGGAAGGAAATAGCCCACGAAGCATTTCCCTCTGGAGTGATTATGTTGAACGTGCGCCCACCGCTCTCGCCTTGCTTTTTTTTACCCGAGAGTGTGACTACACCCTCTGAGGGGACGCGCGCACGGTAAGGTAAAGCGCCGCAGGCGAGGCCGACGCTGCCGGGTGGGCGACGCATGGAAGCACGTCACTCCACCATCCCCATGAGTGGAAGTGGTACATCCTGGGTCTCCCCTTGGCTCTGGAGCGAGTGGTGCAGCCTGCAGAGCGAGCGAGCGAGCGAGCAAGCGAGCATCTGGCCCCGCCGCCTCTTCCTTGAATGGAGCCGGTTTAGCCGCTGGCGGTGGCAGCGAGCGCGGAGAGCGGCAAAGGAGTCGCCCAGCCCGCGTCGACTCTGTGGGGCAGCAGCCGCCAGGAGGGGAAGCCGAGGAGCCTGCGTTTCGTTCTCCTGCCCTCCTGCCCTCCTTCGCGGACTGAGCCATGGCCGGGCGAGGTCGGGTGTGGGCGCTGCTGCTGGCGCTCTGCGGCGTGTGGGGAGCCTTCTGTTTGCAAGGCTCCCAAGCCGACGAGCCTGAAGCGGCGGCGGGCGGCGGCGGCGGCGGCGGGGCGAACAGGCGGCGGCGCCTGAGCCAGGAGGACGGCATCTCCTTCGAGTATCACCGCTACCCTGAGCTGCGGGAAGCGCTGGTGTCGGTGTGGCTGCAGTGCCCCTCCATCTCCCGGATCTACAGCGTGGGCCGGAGTTTCGAGGGCAGGGAGCTGTTGGCCATCCAGATCTCCGACAACCCCGGCGAGGCGGCGGCGGGGCGAACAGGCGGCGGCGCCTGAGCCAGGAGGACGGCATCTCCTTCGAGTATCACCGCTACCCTGAGCTGCGGGAAGCGCTGGTGTCGGTGTGGCTGCAGTGCCCCTCCATCTCCCGGATCTACAGCGTGGGCCGGAGTTTCGAGGGCAGGGAGCTGTTGGCCATCCAGATCTCCGACAACCCCGGCGAGCACGAACCGGGGAAGGGGCTCCAGCTGGCCGCCCCCCCCCCGCGCCCGCCGCCCCCTTCCCAGCTTCCCTTCTGCTTTCTCAGGTGGCAGCGCGGGGTTCCTCCGGGATGCCTCGTGGATGCCGAGGCTCGGGACCTCTCGCCTGACTCGCCTTCTTCCTGATCGTGGATGTTGAGGGGGATCTGTTTTAGGGATCATCACCTCAGGCGACAAGAGCGGTCGCAGGCAGCAGAGGCGATCCGATTTCAAAATGAGGGGCAGCGAGAATGTGTTTTAGTTCCCCGAGGACGTATGGGGTGTATACAGGGTCTTGAGGCGTAGTGTGCATAATAATGGATGTGGTGGCAACAGCGGTAACCTTCCGTGCTAAGAGGCTTTGAGAAGCTCTGTCTGCCTAGCTGGTGGCACCCGCAGCCATGATTTTAATCTGGCCTGGCCTCACAGATAAACATCCTCCTGTGGCCAGCTTTGCTGGTTGTGCCCAGGCCAGGCAGTTGAAAAACCCTTTCTGTCTAAAAGCACTGATGGTGGGAAAGAATTCCTCTCTGCCTCTTTCCTTCTGACCAGGGCTGCCTCTGCTCTTAGGCAGAGGGAGACAGCTGTGGGCAGGTGGCAGCAGTACCAATATATTTATTAATATATAATAAATATACAACTGTTCCTCCCAAATCTCTCTTTCCCTTGCCATTTCCCTCCCTGGGGGAGAGATTTGTGTTTCTCTCACAACCCATTTTGCTCCCCTCTAAATCAGCTTATTGCACACAAGTATATGTGTTGAGTGGGAGGGTACTATTGCCAGTTGTCAGTGTTGAAGTGACATATAATTGCCAGTCCAGTTGGTTTCTGTGCGTGGAAAAGAGGGGCAGTGGCTTGGCTCAGGGCTGTTCCTCCTTCTAGGGTAGGGGAGAGAAACATGGGGATGGGCATTTGAAACCTATGTCCCAGCTGCATATTGACCCCCAAACCAGTCACAATGCAGTCTTCATGGAAACACTTCCCCATCTTTATTACTAGTAAGGTCAGCAGCCCTTAATGATGATAGACAGAGCTGCACACCGTTTCATGGCAGTAACTAGTCCCATCACATATACTGTACATGTGTGCACAAGTCTTCATCTTACTCACCTCACCTCCAGTTCCTGTTCAGTAAATTACTTCTCCCCAGGAATGGTTCCTTGTCACAACCATGACATCAGAATTTGGCTGTACTGATAGATTAACCAGATGATGTGATCAATAACTTTTCAGGGATGGCCAGTGTTAGTACTGGGAAGAGTAGCTGCCATATAGACAGGTACAAATGACAAATGAACTTACATATACCATTTATTTGATGCTTTGTAGCCTGGTTTTCTACTAGAAAATTAGGAGATTTGATTTTTATCTCCCTCACCATGTGAAAATATCTTATTTAAAACATCTATACCATTACCTCTTGCCTCCCTTCTGCCTTTGAAAGGACAATAACTTAAAGATAGATAAAAGTAAAATAGACATGCAGCTTGAATGGTTGCTGCCTGATATAGCTGCTTGGATCAGTTGTTAGTTCCTATTGGTGACCAAATTACCCGCAGTCTTAAAAGCTGTATGAATGGATGTCAGTAGATAGCCTAATGCACAGCAAGCCATTTTTTTAGAGAAATGTTGTAGTAATTAGCACCACTAAAGTGATAGGATAGAATGACCAAAATTCTGCTACAAAGTATTGTAGTTTTTACAATTTTCTGGCCGTCTGTTGCTAAAAGTTTGGTATGTCTAAGTGTACAACAGACACCTGGAATGATTGTGGACACCAGTTATTTAATTTTGGGTTTATACAACACAATTGCAGTAGAATCCTGGCCACTAATTGTACTAATTTAAATAACCCAGATCCTCATCTATAAGGGTATTGAGGACTAGATATTTGGCAGCATACTCTGATGATATGAGAACCAGAGACACATACATTTAGGAAGCAATATTGAATTCTCAGACATCTCTTTTTTTATGCCTAGGAAAGAAGAATGATAAAATGGTACTCAGGATCACAAGCAGTCTGGTCAATAATATTTTAATGAGAATTAGGATTTTGAGATGGGTGAGCATAGTCATTAGGCGATTAGAGTACAGTAGCAAATATGACTTTCCCTGACTTAAAACACACAAAAACTCAATCCACTGGGATTTTTTCCTTTTGTTTGCCCTTTTGCTTGTGCAAAGATATATATTGTATATATATGGGCAGCTATTGCTGGGGCTTTAAACTAGATTTCACCACTAAAGCTTACTGAGCCATAATGATCATGCTATATTTATGCGTTTATGTGTTTAAATCTATATTTTGTCTTGCTATTTAGTGCACCAGTCAGTTAACAATGATAAAATACAGTATGAACAGTTTTGATCACATCTCACCAGTTCTGGCTCGCCTGCATAGTCTTCCTGTTGTTTTCCAGGCTGGGTTCTAGGTCTTGGTTCTAGCTTACAAAACCTTCATCGGCCCATCCCTCCCATTCCTCACAGGCCTTGCTTCTGCAAGTGGCCATACCAAGGGAGGCAAAAAAGATGGTTATGTGAAATTGTGCCTTCTTGACTTTGGCCCCATCTCAATGGAATAGGCTCCCGCCAGAAGTATGTTAGGCCCCTTCCATCCTATCCTTTAAGGGAATGTTAAAGACTGTTCTCTTTCAACAAGCATTTAAAGACATTCCCATTCCTCACAGGCCTTGCTTCTGCAAGTGGCCATACCAAGGGAGGCAAAAAAGATGGTTATGTGAAATTGTGCCTTCTTGACTTTGGCCCCATCTCAATGGAATAGGCTCCCGCCAGAAGTATGTTAGGCCCCTTCCATCCTATCCTTTAAGGGAATGTTAAAGACTGTTCTCTTTCAAGAAGCATTTAAAGACATCTTGCTAAGTTAATGTTTATGCGTGTTTTTTGTTGCCATCACTATTTAAGTTTAATGTAACCTATGTTTATTTGTGGGCATGTGTTTTTGTTTATGTGGGTTGATTATTCATCATTGTAAACTGCTTAGAGCAGTGCTCAGCACTACATCAAGCTGTCTATAAACATCTTAAATAAATAAATAAATAAATAAATAAATAAATAAATAAATAAATAAATAAATAAATAAATAAATAACATACACACAAATTAAACATCAGTTAAATTTTTTGAAGCCACACCAATTAAAGCCACTTCAACAAGAAAATTTCAGATGAACCATTAATTTCCTCCAGTAGCTAGCTGTCTGAGAGCTGGTTGCTTAGATGAATGCTTATACACATCATTACCCATTTGGGTGGGGTGTTATATTTTTGATGTCTTCGTCTCAGATATATTTTCTCCTGCATTTTCTCCTCCAAAGAAAGAATGTCTACTGTCTATTGCATTGCTTCTAGAAGAGGAGAATTTTTAAAAATAAGATCAAAGAAAGAAAGGTGGAAATGCAGGATTGTATTGATAGCATTGTGTGAACTATAAAATAATTTGAACTTCAGAAATATTTTAAAAGAATTAAAAACAGCCATGATGATTCTATGAAGGGTGGAAATTCAAAATCAACAGTGAAACAATGCCATTATTAGGATGATCAATATGTCACAGAATTTTGCAAACTTTTGACTATAGCTAGGTAGTATCAAAAATAGACAATGTGAAGGAGAATTGGAAAATCCTCAAACATGGTCATATATTGTAGCAGTGAAGACTGCAGTTTAGACCAAATGACAAAATGGATATTTATGGACTAAACAAACCAGTAGGTGTTCCTGGTACTGAATTAAACCTTGCAGTGCATTGTCCAGTGCATACAGAAAAGCAATGACTTATCTTTATTTCTGAAAACAGTGAAGGACTGCTGACAGTAACCTTGATCTGTCTGTTCCTTCAGTCAGAATTCACAGGTTCTTTAACCAGCATAAGATTGGAGACATGAGAGACTTTGTATTAGTAAAGATAGAGATTAATTTTGGAGTTGCATTTGGTGGACAAGTAAATGAAAGCTAAATGGCTGGAGGGACAGGAACCTTCAGTGTAAAGCCACTCTTCAGACAATAGAAAATCTTCCTCCTCAAGCAATGACTTATCTTTATTTCTGAAAACAGTGAAGGACTGCTGACAGTAACCTTGATCTGTCTGTTCCTTCAGTCAGAATTCACAGGTTCTTTAACCAGCATAAGATTGGAGACATGAGAGACTTTGTATTAGTAAAGATAGAGATTAATTTTGGAGTTGCATTAGGTAGACAAGTAAATGAAAGCTAAATGGCTGGAGGGACAGGAACCTTCAGTGTAAAGCCACTCTTCAGAAAATAGAAAATCTTCTTCCTCTGGTGGTAGATTCCTGTCTGAATGACTAAGACCAGTTCATTAGTTACATATGTTTAACTCCAGCTGCAGAAGCTGCTGCAGAGACCGGACAAGGTGCTAGTTGTATTCCTGGCCACTCCTAACTAGCATGGCTCCAGATGCCTGAAGTGCTTCTAGAAGAGGAGAATTTTTAAAAATAAGATCATTAAACAGAAACCTGAGCTAAATATGGTGTTTTTCAAGGACATACTGAGGTAGCTGTGTTGGCACATCATATATATTTTGCATATTGTTCCATCTTGCAGCCTTGTATATGGTTATCCTGCAGTGAGTGATAATAAGTTCCACAGAGCTTGCTTCCAGGTGAATGTGTATGAGATTGGAGCATCAGTGTCTAGTACAGCTAGGCACAGCTAGGCTGGTAACTTACATATGTTTAACTCCAGCTGCAGAAGCTGCTGCAGAGACCGGACAAGGTGCTAGTTGTATTCCTGGCCACTCCTAACTAGCATGGCTCCAGATGCCTGAAGCAGCTTCTGCTGTTGGAGATCCGAACACATGTAAATATTAAACAGAAACCTGAGCTAAATATGGTGTTTTTCAAGGACATACTGAGGTAGCTGTGTTGGCACATCATATATATTTTGCATATTGTTCCATCTTGCAGCCTTGTATATGTTTATCCTGCAGTGAGTGATAATAAGTTCCATGGAGC